ATACCTCACAATGTCTTCTTAGAACAGTTATATAGATTCAAATTCTAATATATTGAAGTGGTACACAAAGATTATTTTACTGTATTCTAAGTTAAAGGAAGGGGGGGAGGAGGGGGGCAGAAATAAATGGGGGTGGAGGAAGGAAGGGATGGGCAGGGAAGGGGGAGGGAAAAGGTAGGGGGAAGGGTGTAGGGACAGGGAAAAGGAAGGGGGAAGGGTGTAGGGACAGGGAAGGGAGTAGGGACAGGGAAATGAGGAGGGACAGAAAGAGAAAGAGGGAGGAGAAAGGAAAGGGGTACATGGAAATGGGGAGGGACAGGGGAAGGGAAAAGGAAAGGAGGAAGGGGGGAGGGAAAGAAAAGGGGGAGGGAATACACTCGTCGCCGTGTGTACGTGGCGGCGTTGTTGTCGTCGGCCGTTGGCGTCGTCGTCCGTTGGCGTTGTCGTCGTCCGTTGGCTTCGTCGTCGTCGTCTGTTGACGTGGCGGTGGTTGCTCGTTGTCCACTAACGTGCTCGTCGTCTGTTGACGTTGTCGTCGTCCGTTGACGTGGGCGTCCGTTGACGCGGTCGTCGCCCATTGACGTGGTGGTCGTGGTCGTGCGTTGACGTGGTTGTCCCTTGTCGTGTGCCTGGTGTTAGCAGGCTGGGTGGGACGAGCTTGGGATGGGGGGTGCTCACCTATGACGACGAACGACGACTTGCGTCGTTCGTCGTCTGGTTACCACGTCGCTGATAGCGACGTGGCAACGTGTTGGCGCGCTCGTTTACTGAGGCTGGTGACGTGGCGTTGGGGCGTCGTTTCCATGTCGTGGCCGTGGTGTTGTGTTGGGGTCGTGGTGAAACGACGACGGACGTCGTCGTTGTGTGCGTCATGGTGGCCGTTGGTGACGTGGCGGTGTCGCGAGGTGGGTTGGCGTCGTGGATGATGGTGGTGGTTGAGAGAGTGGGAGTTGTTTGTTGATGACGCCCAAATCAAGCGTCGGCAAACGCCGACACTCGATTTGGGCGTCAGGAATTCCGTTCCGTCTCATTCCGGGATCATTCCTTCCGGGTGATTCCTGGAACCATTCTGGCGGAATTTGAATTCCACCAAAATTCCGCCGGAATGGTTTGATCAATTTGGCAGGGCCCTCTGCCAAATTTGATTCCTCCGGAATTCCAGGAATTGCCCGGATTCCGCCGGATTCCGGCAGGAATCAGTGGAGGACAATAAAGACCTCCTCCCACAGTACGATGACTCATGGGTACGATCTCATTGCGCCGAGGTTTTAGGACATTATTTGGAGGGGGTGTGGAGTACGTCATCACTTTTTTTTTCCCAATAAACTGATCTTCATTTGCGTGAACAGAATCAACGGGATCGACTGAAGCAATACCTTGGTCTTCACTTCGAGAAGACCCTTCCCGTTGGATCGTTGATCCTGCAGCCATACCCAAGACCCCGATTGACAATCCTTGTGTCATCAAGGGAATGACTATATTCAAACTCTACGATGAGCTGTATGACCTCCAAGAGAGATGCATTCCCATTCGGTTCAGAAATCAAGAACTCATGCCTCCCCCATCTACCACTTCCACTCCCAATGTGGCGGCATCGAGCCCAACCAGGCCTTCAACACCAAAAGTTCTGCCCCCAACCCAGTGTTCCCAAAGAGAGTCAACCCCAAACAGCCTTCTACACTGACGTCATTGACCTCAACCCAGCCTTCCACTCCGAAGCCATCGACCCCAACTCTGTCTTCCACTCCGAAGTCATCGACGCCAACCCTGTCTTCAACTCTGAAGGCCTCAACCCCAAACCCGCCTTCCACTCCAAAGACCTTAACTCCAAACCTGCCTTCCACTCCTAAGTTGTCGACCCTAACCCAGCCATCCACTCTGAAGGCGTCGACCCATACCCAGCCTTCCACTTCAACGGCATCAACGAGCCTAGTCCCTTCCACTCCAAAGGCAGCGACCCAACCCCCACCTTTCACTCTGGAGGCGTTGACCCCACTCGCACCTTCTCCGGAGGCTCCACCCCTGCCCCCCTCTCCCAATGCATCGACGACGCCACCCCCAAATTCTACTCCGAATCAGCCAACGTCCACTCCTGAGATGCTGGAATGTCCTTTGAAAGGACAGGGTGTTCGAAAGTGGGCTACTGTGACAACAAAGGGGAAGAAGAAACAAGCCGTTAATCTCGGGCTGGGGCAAGAGGACCCACCTCCATCTCAGAAACGCAAAACAACCGATAATCAAACCATGGAGTCTGCCCCTCCTGTCAAGAAAAGCCGCCGTTTGTTGCATGCATCGTATGTTCATCCCAGATCTCTCCGGCACACATCTAACACGTGTCTTGACAGACCTGAGA